TCTTTTTATCACTGAATAAATTTAAAAATACTGTCAACAGCCAGAAACAATTACAGTTGTCACCATGTTTTTAGGAATACAATGTTGTTTAAAAACAGCCAAATGATATATGAAACCATCTGTAAAAACCTTTAGAATATAGTTAGAAATATAACTGGACAGTTAAGTGCTACTGAAGTGGAGAAAAAAAAACTAATTTTGACAAAACAGTCTTTAGATATGCAGTGCAATTGAAATCTATAACTGGCCAGTTAAGTGCTACTGAAGTGGAGATTTCTGGCTCAATGCATGAGAAAAAAAAACGAATTTTGACAAAACAGTCTTTAGATATGCAGTGCAATTGAAATCTACACGTACAAATATATAAAGTGCAATAAAAGAAGCTCAAAATTGACCAGTGCATGAAAAAACTGAATGGCTGCATCAATTAGATGCTTGTAGTGTCTTGCCTTAAGTTGAACTCCTCAAGGTATTGTCACAGAATCATGGACCCTTTTTCCACGGTACTAGTCATTGCATTCCAGAATGCATGCAAAATGAGGCAGACAAGCTTTAGAATTTGCACCTTACGTGGGGGTTGCATTTCCTTTTTATGGACACTGACCAGACCTGCATGACAGAACCACCAGCTTGGAGATAAATGTCTTAGGTCTGTACCTTATGGTTCAGTGCTGCCTTGTTAGTTTTAGTTAGCTCTATAAGAGCGGCATTAACTGCAGAGGTCACCGCGTGCAATGTATGGGGCAGAGGGGACGCTGGCTGAGGACGGGAGGGATACACAAAGCAGCTTCTGTAAGATGAGAGTCGGCCTTTAGATTTACACTGACAGCAGGAATGTGTGGTTTTAATCAGAACAGACCTTCAGTCTCTCTCATTCAGTGACTGTGCTCGTGTCCGGGCTTTGATTAGCTGGACCGCTGCCCTGTGCCCAGCCGAGAGGGTCCTGCCAGACCCAACAGGGAGGTACAAGGTGCGGTAAGGACAGCGTAAGCCCAGAGCAGATGGATTGCAGTGTGTTTCCGCCCCACTGCAGCCTCGCCAACTCTGAGTCTATGATGTGTCAGAGACCCACGATGCACTGTCAGATATGTTCAATGCAACGTGCCATAACAGCTGGGTTGAAAAGTGTTACAGTTATGTGATGTCGCTCAAGGAATCAACAAATGAAATCCAAATTGACTGTATTTTTTCTTAATAGGCAATATTTGTCTTCTCCACCTTATTTTTGCAGTGCAGAAGTAAGCTATTTTCTGTGAATGTGTCAGACCTCTGATTCATTAGCTGCTATAGGTAGATAACTAGAAGAATAAAAAGGTGCAGTAAACAATAAACCTATTTGCACTACAAACCAATGTGTTTATGATCATAATAATGAATGATAATAATATGATAACAAATACCAGTAACACAATAGTAATGCAACAGTAATACAATATCAAGTAGCATAACAGACTGTTTTTGGAATTAAAATAACTGGAAGAGAATGACACAGAAAGACTTGCACGTTGAAGTTGCAAATAGCTGTGTCCATACATAAGGTGTCCATACATAAGGTGGAGAATTTTCCATCAAAATGAAATTTTACTTGATTTACCTCTTAAATGCTTTTTATTTTTAGTTGACATGACCTCCATACATAAGGTGGAGAATTTTCCATCAAAATGAAATTTTGCTTGATTTACCTCTTAAATGCTTTTTATTTTTAGTTGACATGACCAACAAGGACACAAGGCTCTCTAAAAATGGTCACTGACAAACATCTAAAATATAAAGAAATATTTGTGACTTGAAGTGACGCTTGTACATATAGCCAGAATACAGAGCTTCAACAATGGAGAAAGATCTTTTTTTTTGCCCTCACAAATTGATGCAGTTACAGCATTTACCAGCCAGGGCTAACTAACAATGCTAACCAGTCCAACCTTGATCTCTTGGTCACCAAGCCCACTAGTTTTTCAACTGCCTGGTATATGACATCCATTTTTTACAATCCAATAAATTTGAGATGGATAACATCATGTAAGTGCATACTTATCTTGTTTCATGTACGGTTTTATTTTGAAATATATCAGAATGTGGAAGAAAACTAGGTTGTGATTTTCAACAACATCCTACTTGTTTCAGCTGTTCATTTGAAGTTATTTTAGTACCATTTAGATACTATTATGTTTTTTTATAAATACTTTATTTGTAATTTTGTTGTGGTTTTGCCATTTTTATTTATTTTGTATTTATTTTTGTTTTAAATATGTCTATAGGCCTATACTTTCCATTCATATATATTTGTTTTAGTTTTTATTATTTTAGTATATCAAATTAAACTGCAAATGAAGGTGAGAAATGTTGCCTTGGCATCTAACTGAAATAAAAATAAATATTTACGTTTTTATATATTATTATAGTTACAACTACAATATTATATATATTATAGTTTTTATATATATTATAATTATACATTTTATTTAATTTCAGTTAAAGTTTATTTTATAAATGAACAAAAGTTGTTTTATTGTTTTAGTTAACTACAAGATCTCATGGTGTTGCCAGATTTCATGCACATGAATCTGCAACACATTGTCATTAGCTGCAGTTCTAATTCAGCCTGTCTGCATGCATAAATGAGTGCGGCCTCTAAACCCAAGGTTTAAGGTTAATTGTTATACTAGCTGGTTTAACGTTAACACCTCTCCACGACTACTGTAGTTGGAGACCGATGCACCACTATAGTGTCTAACAAGCACTGTCTAGATGCTAAAAAGGTCAAGTATCTGTCAAGGCATTGGGGATGCTAATTAGAATCCATCTAGCCATTATGATGAGCTCCATAATATGAAATTCCAACTGTTAATTGTGATAAACTTGGGCCCGCGGCCTCTAAACCCAATGTTTAAGGTTAATTGTTATACTAGCTGGTTTAACGTTAACACCTCTCCACGACTACTGCAGTTGGAGACCGATGCACCACTATAGTGTCTAACAAGCACTGTCTAGATGCTAAAAAGGTCAAGTATCTGTCAAGGCATTGGGGATGCTAATTAGAATCCATCTAGCCATTATGATGAGCTCCATAATATGAAATTCCAACTGTTAATTGTGATAAACTTGGGCCATAAGAAAAAAAATACAATTGTGAGATCTCTTAATTCTTCCTTGTGGCGGAACTATTTTGTGTAATGTAGCTTTTAAGTCAATGTCTTAATCAAAAACAATACACAGATGGGATGCACCAGAATGAAAGATTAATTATATTTATTTCTGAGTGTCCACTAAGTCATTGCAAGTGTGCGTTTCTTCCCTTGTGTGATGAAAGGATGATGTCATCCCCCGTATGTCAATTAATCTAATTAAAATCATTCCTGCATCTTCACACTGCCCTGTGAGCATGTGCCAAAACATAATTATGATCTTCATCTCATGGAATGCTCAAGCACATGGTGTGATGATGCACCAAAGCCAGATAATTGGTTGCTTTATGCTAATGAAGACTTGGAAGACAGAAAAAATAAGGAGCAGACCAAATCCAGACTGACAAAGCGTGAGAACAAAGGCGTTATTTGCATTATAATTGTATTCTGCATAATGTTACTATACAAAAATAATGTGCACATCGTTTATGCTTGGTGAATATACCATCATCAGCAGATTTCAATTAGTCATTAATTGGTGCAGTGGTTTAGGCTCATGGCTGGTAACTAGAAGGTTGGTGGTTTGATCCCTGCAGGAAGTGCGCCATGAACCAATCAGATCTTGAGCAAGGCACTTAACCCCAGGATGCTCTGGGGGATTGTGCCTGTAATAAGTTCATGGCGCTTCTCTGTGGTGACATCATGTGAATGTCTTGGAAATAAATTCCATGGTTGTGTGGCGATAAATTAATGATTGTTGTATGTAATTACTTACCCGTGAAGATAGACTCATTTAGTCTGTTTAAGACTGCTTAAGGAAAGACAATGGAGGAACCAAGGGTGTATGTTTGCCCAGAGGAAAGTTCAGTTGCTCAGAGGTTGCTCATTCATTGCTTAGAAGACTTAATTGAGTTCTCAGTTGTTTCATCAATCAAGACGTCCTCCTAAAACTAAATCAAATTAAGAATAAAAATAGACATAAAATGAAACAATTTGGTCATACAGTTTGAGTACAGATTAATAGATAAAACAATGTGGATAGCAGCTTAAATTATTTTGTGTATAACTTTGTCAACTCATTTGTTTCTTTATTAATTTATTTTAAAGGTATAGTTCAACCAAAAATGAAAATGCTGTAATTATTTTCTCACTTTTCATTCTAAACCTGTATGACGTTCTTTCTTGTGTGGAAAACAGAAGAAGATATCAATGTGGTCCAATGTTGTTTGGTTCCAAATGTTGTTTGAGATATCTTCTTTTGATTTTTTGCAGAAGAAAGTAAGTCATAAAGGATTGGAACCACATGAGTAAATGATGGATAGAGAATTTAATTATCGAATTGAGATGAACATTTGATGAAAAATACGTGTGTTTAAATTAAAATTAGTAGCAAAAGACTCTTGACTGCACATTTTGGAGTCTTGAGGACAGTCTGAGACTCTTTCAGTACATTTGAGCTATATGGTCTGTTTTCAGGAGAAACATCTGAGAATCTGTAGACAAAAGTAGCAAAAGTCTCCATTTCATCTCATTGATGTCTATGAGAAGCAACAGAGAGAAAAAAATTGATTTGTTTTGGAGTTTTCTTTCATGAGTGGTTTTAATGTTGGTATAGGGACATTTTAAAATCAATCAATCTGTGGTTGTGCACCTATGGTTCAATGAAGAAACTATAACATCCATAGAACCTTTCCATTGCACAAAAGGTTCTTCATGGTGTTCTTTATATTATTAACATGTTCTTTACTCTTAAAATAATGGTTCAAAGAACTGTTCACTGAAAGATTCATTCTTCATGGCACTGCTATGGCAATTTTAAGAGTACATGTGTCCACAATCCTCTATTTTCCCTCTTTGTTCCCTCTCTCTCCATAGGATCCCTCCTTCTCCCTGCTGCTCCATGATAAACTGCAGGTGCCCAACAGCACACGTAAGGCATGGAACGAGCGTGACGGTCGCTGTGACGTGTGTGCCACCCACCTGAGTCAGCTGAAGCAGGAGGCCGTCCACATGGTGCTGAGTCTGGAGCAGTGTGATGTATCTCCTGGCTCTCCTCCATCCCTGGCCTCCCTGGTGGGATCCCGCAGCATCCTCCAGGGTCCCACGCCACCTCGAGACTGGGCGTTCCTCCCTACAGGCAACCATTCCTCGGCCTCCTCCACCTCTGCTACCGTTTCTGCCACCACATCCAGTTCCACCCCAACAACCACCAATGCGAGCAACGGCGGCAGTTCCCACCACCCAGCATTCCCCAAACACGGATCCAAACCCAACAGTCTGGGGGTGAGCAATGGTGTGGAGAAGAAAAGCAACTCGCCCGGCCACGCAGGAAAGTCCACAGGACCGCAACAGCCTCATCTACCCAGCTGCCCCAGCAACTCTAATGGAGCTGTGTTGAGTTCTGTCGCACTCCAAGCTCACCAATACCTGGACGGCACCTGGACATCTGGACACGTGTCAAGAGCCAATGACGTCACACTCTATCCTTATCAGGTAGGCATATGTGAAGCCTTATCCATCTATCTAGCAATCTATCTGTCTGTCTGTCTGTCTGTCTATCATTTATTCATTCTGTTTATGGTTCTGTCAGTCTGTCTATGTTCCTGTCTATCATTCATTTGTTCCAGCCTTTGTATGTTCTGTCATTGTATTTATCTGTCTAATGTTCATTTGTTCAGTCTATTGTTCTATCTGTCTATCTGTTTGTCTATTGTTCTGTATCTGCCTGTCTGCCTGTCTGTCTATCTTTCTGTCAATCATTCATCCATGCTGTCTTTCGTTCTATCTTTGTATCTATCTGTGTGTCTTTCAGTCTTTCTGTTTATCATTTGTTTGTTCTGTCTGTCATTCTATCTTGTCTGTCCGTCCATCTGTCTACTTGTCTGTCTGTCGTTATTGCATCATTGTCTTAGCAATGCATCCCAGAAAGTGGCAATGGAGAGTGTTCTAAATCAGTCACTTATGAGGTTCAGTTAGGATGCTGCCTAAAAGTAGGCTTCAAGACAGCTCATTAATTTTTTTTGGAACAAAACCTTAATTTTTTTATTCATGGTTGGAGGGTTGGAGCGTCCCTTTGGGGAGAAGTGCCGCCTGATGTAATGAGGTGTTGTTTGCACATTGTGGTTAATGTTGTAATCTAATGATACAGTCCTTTGGGAGACCCTCTGGGCCTAATGTGCATTGGTAATGTATCGGACGGAAGGAATTACATTTTATATAGACTGCATGGGGTCGAGGGAACCTTTTCAGAGAATCAATTTGATTCATTTGTTTGGACAAAAGCCTAGTTCTTTTGGTCTACTGTGTTTGCAGAGACGGAGAAACCTTGGAAGGCTAGTTCATTTAGTTTCTCCGCGATTTGATTCATTTGTTTGGACAAAAGCCTAGTTCTTTTGGTCTACTGTGTTTGTAGAGACGGAGAAACCTTGGAAGGCTAGTTCATTTAGTTTCTCCGCTCTCTGTAATGGTATGGAATCTAGATAATATCACTGGAGAGCAAACCATTCATTTCTGGCAGGCAGGTGAGTGACAATCAGTCCACTTGAGACCTAATTCCTAGTTATTTCACTCTGAGATCCAAGGTTAGTGCATTTCTACCTGCAAGAGTCAACATGTCAGATTTGAACAAGCATTTTAATAAGGTCCAAATGAGAGATTTTTGTTTTAAGAGGGATAATTCAGTTTTGGCGTATGTTGTCAGTCTTCAGTCTTAACAGGAAAAGAACTTGCCGCAAACTGAATTGAGGCACTCAGGAGTCTTTTTAGTAAAGCCTAAGTGAATTAAGTCACAGCAGGTTGATTAGATCTCATCAGAGAGATGTCTTCTCTGGAGTCGCAGTGGCTTATCAGGGAGCGTCAGCTGCTTTAGACTCTATTAAGTACAAAGGAATGTTGAATAGCATAGAATCAGCTGCTCTGTGGAGATTTGAATCTTATAAAATAAATTCAACCGTACACAGAGGTGCATATAGTATTGTTACCTTAAACATTTAATGATTTGTCAGGATGATCAATGTTTCTTGAGCTGCGTTCCAATTTACAGGGTCCCTATGTAGTGTTCACTAATCCCCACATACTCAGTTTGAGTATATCTGTTTAAGTTCACTTCACTTGACAAAATTTGTTCACTTTGTCTATGGGTTTTGCATATGATTAATCTATTTGTGTAAATATAACATATTGTAGTGCATATACAGTATTAAATAGAATATAAAAATGCATATATCATATAATTGGTTACTCAAAATAGTGCATATAGAAATAACACATTCTTAATGTGGTATTTTAAGTTAAATAATTCCTTCCAATACCTTTTAGTACAGAATAACTTACATACTTATAAAGCATTATATAAATACAACATTTGGATGCATCTGCACATTGAATGCTGTTGCAATGAGCTTGCAATGTATTAACCATTTAAAGATGCATGCCATTTTTTCCCCTCTGAAAGCAGCAACCTTTTTTAGAGGCTGCAACTGCATTTGAATCATGAGCATAGCTATAGGCCATTTACTATTTTTAATTTTGTCAGGCTCAATCATGGGGCACAAGAGGAATATGCACTTAAATGTTTCCCCTGTGAGCATTCAGTAGAGTCTCAAAACCATTTTGAATCAAGTGTGAATACAAGGCTGTTTATAGGTAGACATAAACAGGAATCTCTTAAGGAATGTTCAGGTGGCTGTGTTTGGAAATCGACGCTTTGATCTGGCTTCATTTAAGTGGCTGAGTGGGTAAATGTTCCTTGATTCAATTAAAAAAATGAAGTCTTTAAAATCCCATGTAGATTTAGAGGAATGTTTTGCAAATGTGTCCTTTCACTGAACTTGGGTCTTGAAACAAAGACACTTTTGTATGAGAATGATCTAATTAACTAGTTACAGGTCATGAGTCTCTCGTAAGAGTTGTGGGATTCATCTGACAAGGAAAAGAATTCTAGGTTTTGTAAGTAGTGTATATACAGTAGACGTTTGTAAATATGCTTTATTATTGAAATGACACCTAATTAAGTGACGTGACATGTGGCCAAGTATGGTGACCCATACTCGGAATTAGTGCTCTGCATTTACCCATCCAAAGTGCACACACACAGCAGTGAACACACACACACCGTGAACACACACCCGGAGCAGTGGGCAGCCATTTATGCTGCGGCACCCGGGGAGCAGTTGGGGGTTCGGTGCCTTGCTCAAGGGCACCTCAGTCGTGGTATTGAAGGTGGGAGAGAGCGCTGTACATTCACTCCCCTAAATGTTCCTTGATTCAATTAAAAAAATGAAGTCTTTAAAATCCCATGTAGATTTAGAGGAATGTTTTGCAAATGTGTCCTTTCACTGAACTTGGGTCTTGAAACAAAGACACTTTTGTATGAGAATGATCTAATTAACTAGTTACAGGTCATGAGTCTCTCGTAAGAGGATTCATCTGACAATGAAAAGAATTTTAGGTTTTGTAAGTAGTGTATATACAGTAGACGTTTGTAAATATGCTTTATTATTGAAATGACACCTAATTAAGTGACGTGACATGTGGCCAAGTATGGTGACCCATACTCGGAATTAGTGCTCTGCATTTACCCATCCAAAGTGCACACACACAGCAGTGAACACACACACACCGTGAACACACACCCGGAGCAGTGGGCAGCCATTTATGCTGCGGCACCCGGGGAGCAGTTGGGGGTTCGGTGCCTTGCTCAAGGGCACCTCAGTCGTGGTATTGAAGGTGGGAGAGAGCGCTGTACATTCACTCCCCCCACCTACAATCCCTGCTGGTACGAGACTCGAACCCGCAACCTTTGGGTTATGAGTCCGACTCTCTAACCATTAGGCCACGACTTCCCCTATGCATTATGGGATTTCTTTTGAGAAAGAGATACTGTATCTGTCGTGCATATTTAATGTGGAGTATGTTGTAGTGCGGCTCTGCTTCAGGCAGTTGTGCATACTTTTTAAGTCTGTTTCTCAATGAGACCTTCCACACACGCAAACATCTGCAGAATTTGTTTCAAACATTTGCTTCTGCTCAGAATGCACAGATTCAATGTGAAGCTTTGCAGTAACCGCTGATTTTGATTAGGGAAACCATAAAGGAATGAAAATAATAACATGATGTTATACCATAGGACATTTCCAGTGATTACATTTATACCAAGAACATAGTACTAAGCATATTTTGATCAGATGTTATTTGGTACAGAAACATGAACACATATTTGTTGTCATACATAGCCCTCAACTCACTTATTCTTCATATAGAAGTCCAATAATCTAGACCAAGTGTGTTTTTTTTTTCTTGTCAACCTGGAGGGGATATTTTGGAAGCTCTGGTGGTGGTTTAAATGAACAATAGTCTTTTATATGGAATCCACAGACAGGTGGATTGTGTTAGTTAGTATGTGTTAGTATGTGTTTTTGAGAGAGAATGAGAAATCCAGAACAGGTTGATTTTAATCTGGCTATTAGACAAAACAGTACTCTGAAATGTTGACATCATGAGTTAATCAGGAGTAAATTGTTATTTCAAAGCATTTAAAAGTGTTAAAGCAATAAGCCATTACGTAATATTAAAAAAATGTGGTCTCAGGTTTGTCTGCATTTGACAACGTCCTTGGATTTGAAATCATTTTATAATAACACATATTCAAGTGATTTGAAGTACTCTGAAATGTTGACATCATGAGTTAATCAGGAATAAATTGTTATTTCAAAGCATTTAAAAGTGTTAAAGCAATAAGCCATTACGTAATATAAAAAAAATGTGGTCTCAGGTTTGTCTGCATTTGACAACGTCCTTGAATGTGAAATCATTTTATAATAACACATATTCAAGTGATTTGAAAGGAAGTTCACTGTAATTGAACACAGGCACATCTAAGAATTCAAAGGAATACTTTAAGCAAAAAAAAAAAAAGAGAAAAAAAATCTGTCATTATTTACTAACTGGGTTTGACATTATGATATTTCGCTTAGAGATGCTCAAGAACAATGGACGTTTGATGTTACTGACGTCAAACTCGCTCCATAACGCCATATTCGATTTGCAAGCTGCTCTCGAGTTACGTTTGCAGTGAAAAAATGACTTTCTGAATTATGTGATGCTTTTATCATTTTAAGATTTTTTTTTTTTTTGGAGCCTGTTGTTATATGGACAGTATAATCTGTAAAGTTTCTTTCAAAATCTTTCTTTTGTGGCACATATTTATTTATTACGTAAACATGTATAATATTTTTTTATTAATAATAATAATTTTATAAATATGATAACATTTTAATATTTTGTATTTTTATCTTTGTATGCTTTATAAATGTACACATGCATTTTATTTACTTATTTTTGTATTTTTACTTTTTATATATTGTTATTATTATTTAATGACAGAATAAATAATCAGCAAATAATGACAGAATTTTCATTTGGGGGTGAACTATTCCTTAAAAGGCTAGCATTTTGTCTGAGAATTTGGTCTTGAATGTGTGTTACAGTCCGAG